GAGTGAGACAGAGACAGAGACAGACACAGAGAGAGAGAGAGAGAGAGAGAGAGAGAGAGAGAGAGAGAGAGAGAGTGCGTGCGAGTGCGATTATTATTCTTCTATTCGAGTGAATGTACACGTATGCGTGCGTGAGCGAAGTGGGCGCGAGGGCGTGGGCGTATATGGGTGTACCCACGACCACAGGACATTATTCATGCTTAATGACCTGTAAAAATCCTCCCACACACCACCCACTCTTCCACCAACCTCCACTTTCAACAAAGTTTCTTAAACCTCTCAATTCTCTCTTTGCAACAAATGCTTCAGATAAGCACAGGAGATATGCAAAGGGCGTCAGCAGCTGTCACGTTGCAAGCAGATAGTCAACACCTCCCCCACCCGCGCCCCTTACGCTCCTAGATCGTCAGCACCCCCCCACCCCCCACCCCTCTTCTCTCCCCCAATCGCCAGCAACTCCCCTCTTACCCCCCCCCCTGACCGTCAACACCCCCCTCTTCTTACCCCCAGATCGTCAGCAGCCCCCTCCCCCCCTCTCTCTCCCTCTCTCTTCTTATCCCGTACTATACCTCAAGATCATCACCCCCCTTTTACCCCCCTCTTCTTGCCCCCCCCCCCCCCTTCCTCTAACACCGTCATCACCCCCCCTCTGCTTGCCCCCCAACCTCTAACACCATCATCACCCCCCACCCCACCCCCACTCCCCCCTTTAGTACGCAGCCGGGAGTCTCCCCCCCCCCCCCCCCCCCCCCCCCCCCGACGCCAAAGTTTCCTCCTCACGGGCGCTGAAAAAAACCAGGACTCGACGGAGTACACGCCAATATCCCGTCAATTATCTCTTCGCCGCTTCTTCCCCTCTTTCTCTCTCTCTCTCCTTCTCTCCCTCTCGCCTCCTTCTCCCTCTCGCCTCTTCCTCCCTCTCTCCTTCTCTCCTTCTCTCTCTCGCCTCTTTCTCCTCTCCCCCAATCTATTTCATAAGGGTGTGTGAAGGAGGGAGATGGAGGGAGGAAGGGAGATAGAAAGAAAGATGAGAAGAAGGGAGGGAAGAGGAGAGGGAGGGAGGGAGGGAGGGAGGAAGGGAGGAAGGGATGGAGGAGAGAGAGAAAGAGAGAGATAGAGAGAGTGAGAGAGAAAGAAAAAGAAAGAAAGAGAAAAAAGAGAAAGAGAAAGAAAGAAAGAAGAGAAAAAGAAAGAGAAAGAAAGAAAAAAAGAAAAGAGAAAGAAAGAAGAAAATGAGAAAGAAAGAAAGAAAGAAAAAGAGAAAGAGAGAGAGAGAGCGTCACAGCAAGAGCGCGCGAAATAAAAGGCCGCTCGTGTCCCAGCGTCCCCGAGGAAGGGCGCCTCTCGCTGACACGCGCCGGCACTTCAGCGGGAGGACGACTCCGCCCCGAGGGACACGCTGCTCAATCAGGTGTCTCGGTGACGCCGCAGACACGCACCTACTACCCTACCCCCCTCCCCCTTCCCCTCCTCCCCTCTCTCTCCTTCCCTCTTAATAACCTTCCCCTCTTACCCCCCCTTCTCCCCCCTCCCTCTCCCCTTCCCCCTTAATAACCTTCCCCTCTTACCCCCCCTCCCCCTCTCCTCCTCTAGTTTGCATCCTCTCCTCCTTCCCCTCTTCTTATTTTGATTTCTCCTCCTTTACCCTCCCCTACCTCCATCTCTTTATCTTATCAATTTTCCTTTTCTTCTTCTTCTTTTCCTTTTCTTTTTCTTTTTTTTTTTTTTCTTCTTCTTCTTCTTCTTCTTCTTCTTCTTCTTCTTCTTCTTCTTCTTCTTCTTCTCGTTCCTCCACCTCCTCCTCCCCCCTCCTTCCCTATAAAACCCCCCTTCCCCTAACCTACAAAATAACCCCTTTCCTTCACCCTCCACCCCCCCTCCCTCTCCCTCTCCCCTCCCCCCTTCCCCCAGAGCACGTAAAAGGAGCTATTCAGAATACACATTAGAATCGTTAACACCCCTCCCCCTCCCCCTTCCCCTCCCTCTCCCCTCTCCCACTCCCACTCCCACTCCCCCCTCTCCCACTCCCTCCCCCTCCCCACCCCCCCCTCACCCCCTTTCTTTAACGACTTCGCCCTAGAGCTCCGCCGCCGCAATCGGGGATATTAAAACCCATTACGCTCAATTCGCTAACGACGGGGACATCCAATCGCGGGAATCCAAGGTCAAGTTGATTTTTAAATTGATTTTTAAGTTCGAATAAGAAAGAAGGCGGTTTGTATGTTTTTTTATTCTCTCTCTCTCTTTCTTTCTTTCTTTCTTTTTCGCTTTCTTTCTTTCTCTTTCTCTCTCTCTCTCTCTCTCTATCTGTTTATTCTAATAATTTCATATCTTGAGGAGGAGGAGGAGGAGGAGGAGGAGGAGGAGGAGGAGGAGGGGGAGAAAGAAGGAATTATTGGGTAACGAGGAGGAGGAGGAGAAAGAAGAGGAGGTAAGGCAGAAGTAGAAAAAGAGGAGGAAATGCACAAGGAGAAAAAAAAGAAGAGGGAGAAAATAAAGAAGATGATAAGGATTAAAAAGAAAAAGAAAAGGGAGATGAAGAAGACGACAATAAAGAAAAAAAGGAAAATAATAAGACACGAAACCACAAGAAAAACCAACAGAACAGACACACCAAGAAGCGGACTAGCAGGAGAGCAGATAAAGCAGAAGAGCAGACCGAGTAGACAGCAGACGCGCAGGTAGTCTTACAAGTAGGCGTCGAGGCGTGAGTGAATTCCTTCCGATATATCAGGAGCTGACAGCCTAACAACGGCGATGAATGACAGTAGTTAATGCGTGCTGACAGCGACGTTGGTGTGTATGTGTGTGAGCGGGAGGAAAGGGAGGAGGGAGAAAGACAAGAGGGAGAGAGAGAGAGAAAGAGGAGGGAGAGAGAGAAGGGGAGAAGGAGAGGGAGAGAGAGAAGGGGAGAGGAGAGAGAGATGAGAGAGAGAGGGAGAGAGGGGAAGGGGAGGGAGAGAGGGGAAGGGGAGGGAGAGAGGAGAGAGAGGGAGGGAAGGGAGAGAGAGGGAGGGGAGGGGAGAGGGAGGGAAGTTAGAGAGAGGGAGAAGGAGAGGGGAGAGGGAGGGAGAGAGTGAATCTTGAAGCGTGTCATCTCATGTCATCATCCCCTGTACCTCCTCAAAGCGTGAAAACTGCTTCCGTGCTTTCTCACGCCCTCGGCTATCCTCATTCCTCCTCAGGTGTCGCCTCAACGCCCTTACTGGTCATCCCTCCCCCCACCGCCGTCCCCCCTATCGCCTCACGCTCTCACCCTTCATTCCTCCTCACGCATCACGCCCCTCATTTCTCCACACCCCACGCCTCACGCCCTCACCCCCCCCCTCCCTCATTCCTCACACATGCCTAGCCTCACGCCCCAAGCAACACCCTCCCCCCCACCCCACCCCACAATTACCGCATTCCCCAACCCTTAACCACACCTCAAACACCATTTTTCTCTCCGTCGTTTTTATTATTCTTCCTAAACGCCCCCTTTTAGTCTCTCTCTCTTTCTCTCTCTCAAAAAAAAAAAAAAAAAAACTGGCAAATTAGCAGACAACCGCCCTCTTATTCCCAATCTATGCCTCTTTGCATCTATCTCCCTTTGTTGATGCTGACGTCTGGCATTCATCTCGGTGCTGACCCGCTGACGTTGCTATTGTTCGCTGACACTTCTTCGTTGCTCGGGACACCCACTCTGTTGTCGGCGCTTTGGGGTCGGTGTCGCGGACTCGCCTCGGGGAAAGGGGAGCGTCATCGTAAGTTAACACCCACCCACCTATTCATTCACTCACCCGCCTATCCACTCACTCACCCGCCTATCCATTCACTCACCCGCCTATCCATTCACTCACCCGCCTATCCATTCACTCACCCGCCTATCCATTCACTCACCCATTTATCCATTCACCCACCTACCTACTTACCCAACCACCCACCCACTGACTCACCTATCGACTTACCCAACCACCTATCCACTCACTCACCCACCTATCCATTCACCCACCTACCTACTTACCCAACCACCCACCCACCCACTCACTCACCTATCGACTTACCCAACCACCTATCCACTCACTCACCCATCTATTCATTCACCCATCTACCTACTCACCCATCCACCTATCCACTCACTCAGCCACCCAACCTATCCATTTACCAACCCACCTATCCACTCACTCGCCCACCTATCCACTCACCCGCCCACCTATCCACTCACCCGCCCACCTATCCACTCACTCGCCCACCTATCCACTCACTCGCCCACCTATCCACTCACCCGCCCACCTATCCGCTCGTGCCCACTCTCCACTTTAGCGCCCACCCACTCTCACCCCCTTCTCTAATACCCCCTCCCACCCACTTCCCCACCTAATACCCACTTACCCACCTACCCCATCCGTGCCCCCTCCCCCCCTCTCCTTCGTACCGCAGACAAAAGGCTGGTTATCACACAAAAGACTTCGAGGACATGTTGAACAGAGAAAAAAAAGAAAAGAAAAGAAAAGAAAAGAAAAGAAGAGATAAAAATATTCAAATGATGTTCTTTTTTTCCCCCAAAGTTCTCAATTTCGCCCTTAATGACCTGGGGAGTTCTCTTCGTCGGGGAAGAACCTCTGGCTGCCTCTATCTTCCCCAAATCTTGCTTGCTGCCCTAAACTACCCTTCGGTTTCCCTTTCCTTTACCTTCTAGCCTCCCCTTCTCTCAAAAGGAAATATTTTATCCTTGTAACAAAGGCGGATGGATATATATATGTGTGTGTTCTGTATGTGTTCTGTGTGTTCTGTATGTGTGTGTGTGTGTGTGTGTGTGTGTGTGTGTGTGTGTGTGTGTGTGTGTGTGTGTGTGTGTGTGTGTGTGTGTGCGTGAGCGTGTGCGTGTGTCTGTCTGTCTGTCTATATGTATGTATGTATGCATGAATGATTTATAAATATATGTATGACATACATATACACACATAAATCTAAAAAAATAATAATAATAAATAAAAAATAAAATAAAATCCAACACTCACCGTAAACCTTGAGTCTCGCTGTCTCCGAAACCCTCTTGGCGGCCACGTTCTCGGCAACGCAAGTGTAATTCGCCGAGTTCTCCGGCCGGGCTGACAGGATGAGCAGGGAGCCCTCCGAGGATATCCTGCGGGCGAGGGGAACGGGCGGTGGAGGAGGATTAATTAAGGACGGAAGGATATTCATCAGATAGAATGAGAGGTGATTTTCATGAAAGGCAAAAATGCTGTCGTTTAATTTGATCGAATGAGTAATAATAACGACAGAATAACATAATAGCAATGACAATAAAAAAAAAACAATAGTAATACTACTACTGATAATATTACCAATAATGATCATAATCACAATAAAATAAATAACACTAATAATAACAATAACGACGATAATGATAATAACATACACAATACTACCAGCGTTAATTTCATCATTCAACAAAAAACAAACAAACAAACAAAAACAAACTCACTTGTAACTCGGGTTCTCCTCAAGGCTGATGGGCACGTTGTTCCTGAGCCAGGTGGTGGCCGGAGGGGGACGCCCGTCGGGGGGGAGGCAGCGCAGCTCCACGTGCTTCCCGAGGGGCACCGACTGCGAGTACGGAGGCTCCTCGAAGTATCGCCGAAGGTCTGAGGGAGGAAAAAGGGGAAAAAAGGGAGGGTTAGATATGGTTTTAAGGGAGAAAAAATTGAGTGAAAAAGGGAGGGTTAGATTTGGCTTTATGGGAAAGAGAGAAAAAAGTGATTAAAAACAAGTTTAGGAATAAAAGAACAGATACATAAGGAGAATAAGATCTGACTACAAATGAGAAAAAAAAAATGCTTTAGACAAAAGGGGATTCACTTCAGAATTACCCTTATCCTTTAAAAATAAAAATAAAAACATATAAAAGGAGAAAAAAAAAAAAAAAAACGCAACGAAAAAAATATTTAAACTCGCGGCACACTCCCACCGCCACGAACTACATCGATCACCGCGCAAACCTCTCGTCATTTGTTTACTTTATGTGCGCGTAACAGTAACAAATCTCCGAGTAAACAGCGTTGCAGAAAGGAGGTGGAGGGGAGGGGAGGGAGGCAGGGAGGGGAGGGGGGGGGGAGGGAGGGAGGGACGGAAGGAGGGAGGGAGGGAGGGAGGAAAGGAGGGAGGGAGGGAGGGAGGGAAGGACGGAAGGAAGGGAGGAGGGAGGGAGGGAGGGGAGCTGGAGGATGGAAGAGCCGTGACGTCCATGCTGAGACACGGACAGACGTCGACGTGTTTTATACGCCGCCGTTCAGTTGACGAAATCTTGTACGCTTCCTTGTGTCACTCATTCTTTTAAATGTTATCTTCCACCATTCTGTACCCTTTTATACCTATCCTCTCCCTCTCCTTCCTCTTCCCTATCCCCTGTCTTACACCCCTCCTTCTCCTTCTCCTTCCTCCCCCTTTCCCTTTATCCCTTTCCTCTCCCTCTCCACCCTCACCTCCAAAGCAAGTTGATATTCACAGAGTAAATAAGGCGCCTGAACCTCCCCCGCACGTGATCACTCAGGCTGTGGCATTAAACTGTCGCTGCCGCACGCTGATCCGTACTTAATGAGGCTCTCCCGATGGCAACACCAACAGCTTGACGTATGGCACCGGGGAAGTTTGGAGAAGAAAAAAAAAGAGACTACTTCTTTTTATATCTCTTTCCATCGCTTTTTTCTAAGAGCGAAACTTCTTATAATTCGGGATATTTGTCAAGGGATGATGCCAAAAGTGAATTAAGACCCTAGGCATGAAAGGAGTATTTACGACATACTGGATATTAATGGGCGTACGGCTTCTAGGTACGATGAGAGATGGGCCCCGGGAATCACTCAAGGTAAAAGAAGCTTGATCTTTTATTTTATCTATTTTTTTCTGCGCTACTTTAACCCCTTTTAAGTTGTTGAATCACGTCATCTCTTTCCAAAAGATAAAACAAAAAAAAACATGCAATCCCTTTTATATGTTTATTTTCATTTATTTGCCAACTTATTTTTGCCAAAGGCCGCCTACCACAACTCTTTTTTTTTTGCTCTCCATGTAATAACCAGTAATCCCCTCCCCCCTTCCTTCATTTTGGCGTCTTAACTCGCGTTTATTTTCACATTTTTCTTCCTTAATTCAGTGATTCCGTCGCTCCACTCTTCCTTCTATTTGCTTTTCTCGTTGTTGTTTTTCTTTTTCATATTTATCATCATCATCATCATAATCATCATCATCGTCTTCTCTTCCTCCTCTATACTTCAACGCATCCTCCTTTCCTCTCTCTCTCTCTCTCTCTCTCTCTCTCTCTCTCTCTCTCTCTCTCTCTCTCTCTCTCTCTCTCTCTATCTCTCTCTCTCTGTCTCTCTTTTTTTTTTTTTGGTGGGGGGTTATTTACGCATACTGCTTTTGTTTTGGGAGACGGGGCAAGGGTGGGGGAGAGAGCCACAGGATAAGTTGAAGGGGAGAAGGGGCAGGAGACAAGGGAAGGAGAGTGGCAGGGGCAGGGGGCAAGGGAAGGAGAGTGGCAGGGGCAGGGGGCAAGGGAAGGAGAGTGGCAGGGGCAGGGGGCAAGGGAAGAGGAGGTGGGAGTGGACGGGAGCAGGGTAAGGAAAGGGGCGAGGGAGGTTGCTGGAGGCTCCAGTAATCACATCAAGAGTGACAGGCCCTGACAAGGGGTCATGTCCCTACGTTGGCCCTCCGTTGGGCAGTTGCACGGAGTCTCTGATGGCGTCGACGCCCTCTTCTCCCCCCCCCCCCTCTTCTCCTCTCCATCTTCCTCTCCTCTCCCTCTCCCCTCCCCCTCCCTATCCTCCTCCCCTCCCTGCTCCCCCTTCCCCCGCCCTTCCCCCTCCCTATCCTCCTCTCCCCCCGCTCCCCCCTCCCCCGCCCTTCCTCAGCCCCTTCTACACGTCCCGGCGTCCGCCCACGCCCATAGAAGTTAGACCCCCACGTGCGTTTGTCAAGTGTGGCCGCCCACTTCGGCAAAAACTCTTCAGCTTCCCAGCACGACACAGGCGCGAAGGCCCCGCTGACTCCCGGGTATTTCGACGCCATACGGTTCTCTCTGTGTCTGTGCATGTCTGTTTGTTTCTCCATTTATACAGACCAAGTTTTTATGTCTTTGCTTTTTTTTCCTTCATCATAAGCTGTCGCCTGAGCTACTTCTGTAGCCGAGAATGTACTTTCGTGCGATACTCCACGTAGACCCAGAAGGCACCTACCTTAACTATAGGTAAAAAGAGACGCCGATCCCCCCCCCTTCCCCTTTTCTTCCCTCCCCTCTCCTCTCCTCCCTCCTTCCCCTCTCCTCTCCTCCACCACCCTTCCTCCCCCCTTCCCCCTTCCTCCACACCCCTCCCCTCCCCCATTCCCCTCTCCTCCCCTCCCCCGTCTGGGCGTAAGCTGCCGCCGCCGCCGCTCCCGCCGCCGCTATCGTCCCCGCCCGTCACTCCACAGGCTTCGTCGCGGGACATGCCGTGTACAGGTGTCACACAACGATGCGGCCACCGACATGCAAATGAGGCACGGGACTCCCGCTACCATTAACTTCCCTCCTCCCCCCCTTTCCCCACCCCCACCTTACCTAGTCCACTTCTCCCCCCCTTCCCCCCATCCTCACCCCGACCCCCTTCCCTTCTCTTCCGCTTCCCCCTCTCTTCGCCCCTCGCTCTCATCTCCCCTCTCACCCCCTCCTCCCTCTTCCCCCTCCCCTCCTCCCCCCAACCTTCCCCCCTCCCCCCTCCTCCGAATCTATCACTGCCAACACTCCTCGAATCAGCACGAGCCGCGTCCTTGCCAATTTATCACTACCTAATTACTCCGCGACGCCTCATAAATCATCAAAATACATTTTACCAAAAAAAGACGAATGAAAAAAAAAAATTAACGAATGGATAAATCAAGATCAAAAAATATAAATACACACACACACACACACACACACACACACACACACACACACACGCACACACATATATATATATATATATATATATATATATATATATATATATATATATATATATATATATATAAAGACATAACATCATCTCGACCACTGAAGCATCTTAAATAAACAAATAAATGAATAAATGTGAATGAATAAAAAATACATATATGAATTTCAAAAGAGAAAATAAAATTCAAAATAAAAAAAGGGATAAAAAGCCCAAAACCTCCTTTATTCCCACCTGACAGCCAAGTCTATCGCGCCGACGCATCGACCCTCCGAGGAATCTATCAATTGCATAATCTGCAACCAACAGATCCAGCGAGAAAGAGTGAGATTGCATTCAGGTGTGTCTCGTCTCCGCCCTGATACTATCTCCGTCACAGCCTCCCTGACCTCTCCTCCCGTCCCCCTTCATGGCTCCTTCTCCACCCCCCTCCCTCCCCTCTTTCTCATCCATCCCCCCTTCCCTCTTTCCTCTTCCTGACTCCTCCCTTCTCTCTATACCTTTCCTTCCTTGTCCCTCCTCCTTCCTTCTTCTCTCTATACTTTCCCTTGTCCCTCCTTTCCTTTTCCTCTTTCCTGACTCCTCCTCTATCCCTTCCCTCTCCCCCCCTTCCTTCGCCCTCCTCCCTTCTCTCTTCCCCCCTCTCCGTTCTTGACTCCTGTTCCATTCTTTATCTAACATAACCCAAAGGAAAATAGAATAAAATAAAATAACAAAAATAAGATCTACTGAACGCAGGATAAAAGATGGAGATGATGAAGAAGAAAATCAAGTAGTAGTAGTACAGGAGAAGGAAGAAGAGGAAGTAGAAGAAAAAGAAGAAAATAACAATAAGAAGAACAAGACCAAGGAAGGACGAACAAACACAAGAATATGAAATCAAACAAAAGAACAACAACAACCGCCCCCCACTATCACCCCCCCCCCCCGTGGCACAGACCGAGTAATATGGCGGCACAAATTAACCACAAAAACCACTCAGGACGGACGACCAGCAACCGCAAAAGAGGGCGTGGTTTCGGCGTCGTCCCTCTGTCGTTATTCCGTAAGAGCGAAAGGAAGGAACATCCGGTAGCGAAGGAGATAGGCCTAGGTATTAAGAGTAGAAGCCGATGTTTTTTAAGTTTTTTTTTCTTTTTTTATGTTTTTATTTTCTCTCTCTAATGGGTATGTAGGCGTTCAGGAGATTAGGACAGGTTGGGATTGTGTGTGATTGATTGACTGGCTGATTGACTGTTCATTTCTCTTTCTCTCTCTCTCTCTCTCTCTCTCTCTCTCTCTCTCTCTCTCTCTCTCTCTCTCAAGTCAACATCTGACCATTTCTTCCAAATCCCATTTTCACACAAAACAGCAAAGGACAGTGAGAGTGAGAGAGTGAGAGAGAGAGAGAGAGAGAGAGAGAGAGAGAGAGAGAGAGAGAGAGAGAGAGAGAGAGAGAGAGAGAGAGAGAGAGAGAAGGGGGGGACTTAAAAAAATCACTTAGGAATTAATGTACACAAGTCATTAAGGAAGAGCCATCCATCAGAACGGGAAGCGGAACCAGAGCTGTAAGCAGGTGTGTGTGTGTGTAGGAAAGTAATAACCCTTCCTGCACACACACACACACACACACACACACACACACACACACACACACACACACACACACACACACACACACACACACCACTAATTAT